AGGGTATGGCACAGATGTGATGTACTCAGACCCAACTTTCCAAGATTGCTCTGGTTGCTACGTGGAGAATGGTGGGGCTGGAGCAGAGATAGGTGTGGAAGCTGGGCCATGCTATCACAGTAGTCAAACTGGCTTGAAGTGAAGCAACCAGTGGAGATGCAGAGGAGGGGTGGTTTCGGGGTAAGATATACAGGTGATGCTGAAGAACTGGAGCACAAGGAGTAAACAGCAAAAAGAGTCGAGGATAGCTTTTGGGGTTTGGACTGAGAAACTGGGTGGAGAGTTATTACAGTTACTGAAATTGGGAAGCAACAGGCTTGGAAGAGGCAGAGGGGGAAAGTAAGAGTTCTGTTTTGCGGCTGGTGGGAATGCACACTGGTGCAGCCACTATGGAAAACAGTATGGAGAATCCTCAAAAAACTAAAAATAGAAATACCATGTGACCCAGCTATCCCACTACTGGGTACCTACCCAAACAACTTGAAATCAACAATCCAAAGTAACATATGTACCCCCATGTTCATTGCAGCACTATTCGCAATAGCCAAGACATGGAAACAATCCAAGTGCCCATCAACTGATGAGTGGATAAAGAAGATGTGGTATGGGGCCGGCCTGGTGGCGCAGTGGTTAAGTGCTCACATTCCGCTTCAGCGGTCTGGGATTTGCCGGTTTGGATCCCGGGTTCAGACATGGCACCGCTTGGCAATCCATGCTGTGGTAGGCGTCCCACATATAAAGTAGAGGAAGATGGGCATGGATGTTAGCCATGTGTTCCTCAGCCAGTCTTCCTCAGCAAAAAGAGGAGGATTGGCGGCAGATGTTAGCTCAGGGCTAATCTTCCTCAAAAAAAAAATTTAAAAAAATAAAAAAAAGAAGATGTGGTATATATATACAATGGAGTACTACTAAAGCAGAAAAAAAGACAAAATCGTCCCTTTTGCAACAACATGGATGGACCTGGAGGGAATTATGCTAAGTGAAATAAGCCAGACTGAGAAAGACAAACTCTGTATGATTTCACTCATATGTGGAAGATAAAGAAACACATGGACAAAGAAAACAGTTCAGTGGTTACCAAGGGAAGGGAGTTGGGGGTGGGCACAGGGGGTGAAGGGGAGGACTTATGTGGTGACACACACCAAATAACGAACAACTGAAATTTCACAAGGATGTAAGCTATTATGAACTCAATAAAAAAAGTCACTGGAAAAGAAAAGAGTTCTGTTTTGCTGTGTCACGTTTGAGATGATGATTATACTTCTGAGTGAAAATTTTAGTCAGTCAAAGTAGTTCAGAGACTAAAAGGCACGAATGGGTTCAATGATCAGCATTTTAATCTGTGGAACGTAGCTATGGAGGGGACAGAAATAAATGACAGTCTTCCCTTCCTTCAGGAGCAAACAGAGCCCTGGAGAGACAGCCATGTCCACAGCTGGGTGTATGATAGGTAAGATCTTTGGCAATTGCTGGAACAGGCCCCTAAAGAGCATTTTAGGAACATTAACAGAGAGGGAGTGATTCTGACTCGTGTCCCCTTTGATCCCACTGCTGTCATTCTCCTTTTCTGCAAGACTTTGCTACCTTCCCACTTCAGTTCCTTTGGGTCAGACTCTATAACTCTTCCAGGCCCATCAATTTTTAAAGCTATTAGGGGAAATTGTGATTATTTTTCCATGACTAATTCCAAAATGTTATCAACACTTTACGGAGTTAAAGATTGTTTGTGACGATGTTGCTAGCTTGGGCTTCTTCTGTGGACTTCGGATTTCATATTTTAGGGGCTTTTAAATGCTTTTGCAGGTCAAATACTAGAGCACAGCCTTAAATCAATTTTAGCACTTTTTAGCACAACACTTACACTATTTTGTTGGAACTAAGTGTCAAGGACCATATGATCTTTGGTGCCCAAATTCTCAGAGAACTTGCAGTTTCTGATGTAACATTTTTATAGATAATTTCTTTATTAAATAGATGGTTTATAAGTATTCAGAAAAGTGAGCAATTGGTGAAACCAATTACAAAAAGAACATTATTTTGGTGCAAAACAATTTTTAATTCCTTGTGCTTTTCTTAGTGTAAGGTTTTAATGTGACTTAAATATGTATTTAACTGTGGCCATTACAGCCTATAAAGGCAAGAATCTGTGAACTAACTAGTGAAAATTTACATCATGAGTGGGGTAGGCTTTGGAAGACCCACAACAAAATAATGACCAAAAACACACAATACCCCTCCCCAAACTGCGGATGGTATTTCTTTGTAAATAATATGTCCAAAGCAATATGCCTCATCAATAAATCAGTATAGATTCTGATCAAAAATATCTTTTTAGGAAAATGTGGTCTTTAGCAAGAGAAAACCACTTATTTTAAACACCCTGCTCCACTGCAAAGCTCCCTGCCCGCCCTGATGTCCTGCCCTCTGCCACCGCATGAATCACTTCCCCATCAGAGCATCACAGGATGTTGGGTCCAGAGAGAACCTTAGAGAGCATCCAAGTTGGCCACCCTGTCCACTCGTGTGAGCACACTCACTTTATACACACGAAAAATCTGAGCCCCAAGAAGCTTGGTGATGTGTACATGGTAACATCACCGGGACAAGAATTCTTCAAGTTTCCAGCCATAAGCCATGGAAATAAATCCTCAATCCTTCCATCAATTAATATTTTACTTTCCTTTGTAGAGTTGATCTACAGGTAGAGAAAATAATTTTATTAAAGGAATCTACTCTGAGATACGAATCCCCTTCCTCCATCCTCACCAGAATTATTTACTGAATTATTATTAAATTAATTATTATTAAAGAATTATTTGCTATTGCAAACACATCTCTAAGTGGTGATATTTCAGCAATGGGGCAGTTTTAGGGGCAGGGGATCTTTGCCAGAGCCATTCAAACCACACACTTACCTTCACCGCTTATGTTCTCTGAGGACACTGATGTGTCCTGTGAAAACCACCAATTCTCTAACATCAAGATATGAGGCTCCAGGCAGCGGACACGATCAAGAACCCCTGCCCCAACCAGAGGAAATGAAGCCTCTGGCTGTAGGGAGGGCTTGCTGTAGTTCTCAATACCCAAGTTCCTGGAGTCCCCACGCCCTGACTTTCAGACCACAGCAGTTGAAAGGATAGCAAGGAGACTTCCTCAGCTCCCTTCACTCTTGCCTACAGAAGGAGGGACTGGGCAAAGGTGTGTCTGTGATCCTCATATCCCTCCCCCACTATTTGTAGTTGGTTGCTTGGGCCCTGGTGTCCTAGTCCAGTTCTTGCCCTCAGTGATGGTGACAACCACTACCTTAGGGGTGGAGGGGTGTGCTTCCCAGCGGCTGGTCCTGTATGCCATCCCTAACTGACCCATCCCACAAAAATAACAAGGATGCAGAGAATCCCTGCTGCCGGTGCCCTGGGACTCACACCCAGGCAATCCCAGGAGGTCACCAGGACAGTTTACTGCTTCAGTCAGTTTAACTCTCCCCCTTTCTCTAGCTCCCCTCTCTCTTTAGGAAAAAGAAAATGACAATAACAATTTTGAGAACCCTGTACTTCCCTACTAAAGGTGCCCCCCGACCCTCTTTCTTCTCTCAGGGAGAGTGTTGCTGGGCTCATAAGGTGAGTTTGGCCCCAAGCTGTGCTTCTTCAGGGGACTCCTCCAAGTGAGTCCAAGGGAAACTCAATCCAAGGGAAGTCGCCCTCCACCCCAGCCTCATCCTGTGGAGGAACATGAGCTCTGCCTCTGGGGAGCTCAGGGATAAGACGTAGTTCTGAAGGGCAAATATGGCAGACTGCTTTCTTAGCCTGCTCCAAAACAGTCCTCCACTCTTCAGTGATTTCTCAGAGTCTGGTAGCCAGCTCATAGAACAGAGGCATCTGCTCCCATTTAAAAGAAGTTAGAGCATATTAGATTCAGCTTTGAAGAAAAACAACTTTAAATTTGGAGAAAGGCCTTTGTTTAATCACATCAAGTCTGTGTCACAAGCTGAAAAATGCCAGGAAATTCCAAGCTAAAGGGATGTACTTCATCTATAACTCATACCATGGGGCTTATTTTTATTCTTTCATATGCCTGCAAACAGAGAATGAAGCAACAGAAAAACTCTGAGTTGCGTGCGTTTTGTTTTTTCTCTTTTTCTTTTTGGGTCTTGTCAGTTTGTGTTATAACCTTGGCATTACTCTGCCTTTTTTTTCATTTAATAAGACTATGAGATTAGACTGGTCCTGTTCTCCTATTTCTTGTTAGTGCTGAACAAGCACTTTTGGCACTCACAGCTCAAATTTCTGCCATGTTGCTCTGTGCCTTTGTATGTTTGGCTATGAACTCAAGTGTCTTGACCTACCATCTATCTTTAAGGCCTGAGAAAGAAATTATTTTAGCATTCCTGCTCTTAGCTCATATATATAAATCTTGGATCTATGACATGTCTGCAGCTCTGAAGTTAGCACAGCCATGAAGAACAAAAGGAGGGGAGGGAATGGGGTGGGGGTGGCGGGCAGGAAGGAAAAACCACAAAGACTCACAAGCAGAATAGTATTAAATCTCCTGCCTTGTGCCCAGGCATGGGTTCTGGATCTTATAAATGGGATGAAGAATGTATGTAACTCCAAAAATATGTAATTCTTTCTCTTTTAAATGTGGAAAGTGTTCTTTATTTTTTTTTAGAAGATTAGCCCTGAGCTAACATCTGTTGCTAATCTTCCTCTTTTTGCTGAGGAAGATTCACCCTGAGCTAATGACTGTGCCAATATTCCTCTATTTTGTATGTGGGACACCTCCATAGCATGGCCTGGTGTGTGGTGCGTAGGTCCACACTCGAGATCTGAACATGCGAACCCTGGGCCGCCAAAGCGGAGTGGGTGAACTTAACCACTATGCCACTGGGCCAGCACCCAAAAGTGTCCATTTTTCAGTCTGAGTGCCCTGAATTTCTGTATTGATTTTAGAGTTGTGTGGTATATAATAAAAATATGGAGCTTGCCACAGACAGCACAGCTTACCTTTTCAAGGATCTGAAAGCTGATCACTCCAACTGTGTGAGAATAAAGGAGAAATAATTAAATATTAACACCGAGTGTAGCCTGGTGACATAATCATGATTATGATTGTCAGTCATTAGAACAGAACAAAGGATGCTAAGGAACAGTGATAGGAATATGGCTTTAGTGAAACAGAGAGTGCTCTGTAATAGATAAAACTTTAGGATTAGTTCCCGATCAATTAATAAGTATTTATTGAGGACCAATCAACTATACGCTTCACTTACTGTAAATGTAACCTATGGAACCTGCCCTCAATGAGCTTCCAATCTACTTTCAATATGACAGTATAGGATATAGGATACATGATAGTGCATATGTAGACACCAGGACTTAAAAGTTCATGTGCAAGGACTGCTCATGGGAACCTGCAACCACTCCTCCAATGGGTAAATCCGTGACTCTAGAGTCATACAGACTTGGGTTGGAATCTCACCTTAAGTCATTTTTTCAACAGTATTTACTGAGTGCCCACTCTGCATCGGTGTCTGCAATGGACACTGGTGGTGAAGCAGTGAGAGTAAAAGAGAAACAATCCTTCCCCTCTTAGAGGGACACATACATTAGTAATCACACAAATGTAAAGTCCCAAATTTTATAAACACTAAGGGAAAAGTTTGGGGGAAGAAAACAGTGAAAGGAGGTTCCAGTTTAGACTGGAGTCAGGCGAGGCATCTGTAAGGCAGAAGCCAGAGTGAATATCGTCAGGCCTGCCAGATGATCACGGAGCAAAGGAGAGATCAGAGTCAAAGAACAGGGCTTACAGCAACCCCACTCCCCCCCAACCCCACCCCTGGGAAAAATAGTGTATCACTAGGGATCGAAATGATCTTGTCCATGAATCAAGCCACCTGAAGCTCAATCTTCTCGTTAGTAGAGTTGAATATGTAAATACCAACCCCAGATTTACATTAGAAAGTAACTAACTAACATCTTTACAGAAACAGCAGGATATCTTAGGAAAACTTACTGAGACCATACTAAAGGTCCGTTAAATGCCTACTGAGGAGCACCACAGACATAATGGAGAAAAAAATAGGTAAAATATTTACAGTACCATAAAGAGGAAACAAATCCTAAAGCGTAAAGGGAACCATGATGTCTGCAGTGGGAGATAATCGTGGGGCCCTTAAGAGTCAACACTTTTTTTTTTTTAGTTCAGTAAACTGTTAGATTTATGAGGCAATACGTTCATGAGTTCATATAACTAAATATACAAACGGGCCTATTTGTTTTGGATCATTCAGTATCTGAGAGTGAATTATTCATTCAAGTATTAATAAATTAGAATTTTTTTATTTGGCAGTTGACAAAATTTACTTAAGGAAATAAAAGAAATATCCACCAAGTTTGGACTGGCTTATGCATTTTTTAAGCTGGCTCAAATCTCCAAGTGTAGAAGAAAGTTCAAGTTATTTATTAATGTGTGTCTTTTATTCTGCTGATTTATAGTACATGTAAAAACAAATCCTGAGATTGTTTGGAGCTCCAGTATGAAAACAGCAAGAATTTACCTGGCTATTATTTAACCCAATGATAATACTGACTTTGGTACCAAAGAGAAATATGCTATAAGAAACAAAGCCGATGGAATTTTCCTCTATTATGAATCAACATTTAACGACACTCCATTCCCTCTCAAAATATCACTTCTGTATCTTCTTTCCCACGACTTGAATATTCTTTTTCTTTTGTATTCTTTACTGAAATATGTTTTTGGTGACTTTGAACTTCTGAAAACAATTACAGTTTTGGCCCATTCTTATCTAGATTCAGTAGGGAAATGTTGTTCTATCATCCACTCCATACAAAAAATAATAGCCCCCAAAAGGTGATGTGTAGTCTCAGATCCATTAGGATTCCAATTTTTCCTAGAAGCAAAACAAAAGACTATTTATTTGACTCCCTTCTTCCTTAAAAAAATCATGGCTATTAACTTCACTTCATTCTGTTTTCTTACTATATTGTTCAAACACCTCTCCTCCAAAATATGTCTTTGCAATTCCTTTTGTTCTGCTTTCTTTGCTGAACTTAATGGAAAGTACAAGAATCTGCATGCTGTTTGCTTATGAATTGCAGAAATTGTGCACATGGCTTGGAAATTTTACAGCAATATCGTAGGAAATCTGTCCAGGTATCTGTCACTGCCCATTCTTTCCAGCACTCTCAATGTCACTTTCTTTCAATGGATGTTGGCAAATATGTTTGTCCTCCACTCTAACTCCTAATATTGAGAGAGGGAAAAACCACAAAACTTAAATCCCTGAATTGTCCCATCTTTTTTAATCTGACTATCATCGTTAGAGTTGTTTTCACCCTTACGCTATCTATAGCTTAACAGAAAACCACATCCTTTCTCTTAAACTGCAGTTTACATACAGCATTTTTCCAGACCCTGATACATAAGAGGCAAGTGAAATAATAATTCCCTTCCTTTCATCCTTTTCACACATCTTGCTACGTCTTTGATCCATTATTGCTAGATAACTGATTTAAATTGTAGTCTAATAAAATTAATCATTATTTCTTTGTCAAAAATCTCCTGTTAAATGTGTTTCTGTGAATTTGACCTGTGGATTTGCCTTAATCCTCCATTTCAGTTCTCTCTCATTCATCTTGTCTAAACGTAGTTTTCTCAAAGGAACTTTTGCTCATCTCCTGTCTTCTAATTGCCCCAACAATCCCTTGCTTCCCTAGCTGTCACCAAAAGTTGTATTCCGGGGAAGATTTCAATCCAGGAGCATGTCCTCATCAATTAATAAATGACTGCTCACCACCGTTGACTGCCTACTCTGTGGCTACTCCAGCGCCCTGCTAGATTCTGTTGGCTATAAAATTATAGATCAGATACAGACTTTATCCTCAGGATCCAAAGTTGGTTTGGACACAAAGCAGTGGATAAACAATTTAGTCCTCAAGTTGCACTAAGTCATGTGAAGAGAATTTAGAGAAAAATAGGATAATTAAATCTGGAATACACATTGAAAACTCCATGGGCTGGGTCAAATTTTGATACATAAGAGGAAGATGGTAATCAGCCTGTGGACCAAATAATATTCTGCTCAGTGGAATGCAAAGCAAGAGAATCCCAATATGCATTGTGCTTTGTGGCACATTTGTTAGGCTCGGAGGAATTGATTCCTGAATATTAGGTAGCAATGATTCCGCCTAATTACGTTTTTTTGGAACAGTAGTTGAAACAGCAAGAGCTGAGCGAGAGCATAGCGACACTCATGTAAACTTCCCATTTTACCACACTTTACAGGTTTTTCAAAGCGTTCCACATTTATCGTCTTATTTGACTCTGTAAAGCAGATAGGAACCATATATTTCGTTTTAAAAATAAGGAAATTGAGTCTTAGTGTAAGAATCTTATCTGGTGCCTTCTGGTATTAGATGCAGAATGATAATGAAAACACAGGCCTTGTGATCCCAAGCTCAGAGCTCCCACCCTCGCAAATGCAATAAAAAACTTCCCAGTCAGAAATCATACAGTAATGATTTTCCATGGATCTGTTCCATAGAGGTAAGGCTTATGGAAAAGACTAAGTGTATTTCTGAGGTTGATTTGTAAAATTTCTAATTACAGATTGCAGGGGGAAAAAGCAAACAGCTAGGGCCTGGCCTGGTGGCGCAGCGGCAAGCCATGCTGTGTCAGGCATCCCACATACAAAGTAGAAGAAGATGGGCATGGATGTTAGCTCAGGGCCGGTCTTCCTCAGCAAAAAGAGGGCGATTGGTGGCAGATGTTAGCTCAGGGCTAATCTTCCTCAAAAAAAAAAAAAAAAAAAGGAAAAAACCAAACAGCTAAAAGTAAGACATAATTCTTTTGGTTTGCATAATAATTATTTTAGCTATATATTTAAGAATAGATTTTTTAAGTTTTTAAAAAAATTTCAAATGTCTACTTTATGTATGACCATTTGCATATTACAAGTCCCAGAGATGAACAGAAATTGTTCTCATTGCCCACCAAAAGCAGAGTTCACATTCACCTTATGACCAGTGGATTTTAAGATGCAATTCCACCTGAAGGCTGTTTGAATTCTTTACCTAGTCTTCAACTTTCCCAGTACGGCTATTAATTAGATAGCACTTTCTTAAAATACACAAATACTTGTGTGTTCTATTCTTTGTTTGCTTAAAATGCAAATATTTTAATTACCTGCATATTTGAAAATCCTAAGAATCTTGTCCATATGGAGAACTCAATAACGCATCATGGAATCTGGGCAACCATATTGCTATTGCCACCATTTTTTCTTAACAATCCACATATATTGTAAACTTGGGGACTATGAATTAAGTCCTTAGCTTGACCAGGAAATGTACTAATATTACAGATAGTACCTCATTTAACTCTCTCAAGAATCCTGTTAGGAGAGTTTCATTACCCACATTTTATACATGAAGAATTGATTTTTGGTAGTAACCGGGTAAAGAGAGATCATTTATTGTGGTCATTCCATCAATGGAATACTTTCATAAAAAGGAAGGTATAAACATATCTGCCCTTGTTGTTGCCTCTCTCTGTTACCCTAAAAAGTAATAGTATTAAGTTAGCTCTTTTCCCCCTGATAAGAGAGGGTTGTGGTGCTATAAATAAATTGCAGCAGCAGATATTCAAATGGATGCAGAGTTGCTTTCATTGAAAACCACCCATTCCCATTAATTACACTCACCTGGGGCTCCTGCTAGACGCCGTGGAACGACTGTGTGGTCCACTGCCGTCTGGGTGACATTTTGCTAACAACAATGTATATAAGAGCCAAAATTGACTTCATTTGTCTATCCATATCCTTAACTGGGTCAATGCCATTCATTCTTTGCCAGCAGAACAAGTGCTGAGAGCAGCGCCCCCTCCTCTGTGCCACCTTGCTAAGCCGTCTCTCTCTCCTCCCTCCTGAAACATCTACTCCCTTAGGCTATGGGATAGAGTCAAAAGAACTTACCAGCACATTGGATTTAACCCTTAGTCTTCTATAAATTGGGT